TAGGTGTAAGGTTAGGTTGTGTATTTGAGACCTTTCTTGCTTCTAGAGAAAGACTTGTATTGCTATATACTTCCCTCTTAGGACCACCTTTACTGCATCCCAAAGGTTTTAAACAGTTGTATTTTCATTTTTATTTGTTTCCATGATTTTTTAAAAATTCTTCTTTAATTTCCTCATTGACCCATTCATTATTTAGTAGGATGCTCTTTAACCTCCATGTATTTGAGTTCCTTCCAAATTTCTTCTTGTGATTGAGTTCAAATTTCAAAGCATTTTGGTCTGAAAATATGCACAGAATGATCCCAATATCTTTGTACCATTTGATACCTGATTTTTACCCAGGATGTAACCTATTCTGGAGAATGTTCCATGTGCATGTGAGAAGAATGTGTATTCTGTTGTTTTAGGATACAATGCTTTGGATATATCTGTGATGTCCATCTGGTCCAGTGTGTCATTCAAAGCCCTTCTTTCACTGTTGATCTTCTGATTAGATTATCTGCCCATTGCTGTTAGTGGAGTGTTAAATCCCCTACTATTATTGCATTATTATCAATGTGTTTCTTTAATTTTTTAGTAATTGGTTTGTATAATTAGCTGCTCCCACATTAGGGGCATAAATATTTACAATTGTTAGATCTTCTTGTTGGATAGACCCTCCAAGTATGATATAGTGTCCTGAGATTTGCAAGTTTCACTATTATCTGTGGAGGTGTTGGCCTATTTGATTATTTATTTATTTGTTCTGGTGTTGAGTTGTTCTTTATATATTTTAAGTATTGACCTCTTATCAGACATATAATGTGGAAATATTTTTCCCATTCCCTAGGTTGCATTTTTGTTTCATTAATGGTTCTCTTCACTATACAAAATATTTTTATTTTGGTGTAGTCTCAGAAGTATATTTTTGCTTTTGTTTCCTTTGTCTGAGAAGACACATCTAGAGTAATGTTGCTAAGGCCAATGTCAATGAAATCACTACCTATGTTTTCTTCTAGGTGTTTTATGGTTTGGGGTCACTAATTTCAGTCTTTAATTCATTTTTAGTTTACTTTCATGTATAGTGTAAGAAAGTGGTTCAATTTCATTCTTTTTCATTTGGCTATCCAGTTTTTCTAGAACCATTTATTCAATAGACTGTCTCTTCCCCATTGCATATCCCTACCTCTTTTCTCATAGATTAATTGACCATATAAGTGTGGGCTTATATCTGGCATCTCCATCCTTTTCCATTAATCTGTCTATTTTTGTGCTAGTACCACATTGTTTTGATTATTGTATCTTTGCAAATATTTTGAAATATGGGGTTGTGATATCTTCAGCTTTCTCATTTCTCAAGACTGCTTTGGTTATTCGAGGTCCTTTATAATTCCTTACAAATTTTAGCATCATTTATTCTAGTTTTGTGAAAAATGTTATTGGTATTTTGAGAGGGCTTGCACTGAATCTGTAAATCGCTTTGTGTAGTATGGGCATTTTTAACAATATTAATTCTTCCTGTCCATGAGTATGGAATATCTTTCCATTTTTGATTTCTTCTTCAATTTCTTTCAACAATATTCTATAGTTTTTTATCATGTAGTTCTTTCAACTCCTTGGTTAAATTTACTCCTGGTATTTTATTATTTTTAGTGAAATTCTAAATGGAGTTGTTTTCTTAATTTCTTTTCCAGTGGCTTTGTTATTAGTGCAGAGAGATAAAAGATTTCTGTTTATTAATTTTGTATTCTGCAACTTTACTGAATACATTTATTACTTCTAATAGTTTTCTGGTGGAGTCTTTAGTTTTGTTTTTTTTAATGTGTAGTATTATGTCATCTGCAAATAGCAACAGTTTTACTTTTTATGTACCAATATGGATGCCTTTTACTTATTTTTCTTGTCTTATTGCCATTTGTGACATGGATGAACCTAGAAGGTATTATGCTAAGTAAAATAAGTCAGACAGAGAAAGACATATGTCATATACTAGCACTTATAAGTGGAATATAAAAAATAAAACAAATGAAAAAACAAAACAAAAAAGTAGAAACAGATCCATAAATACATAGTACAAACTGGTCATGGCTGGGGTGAGGAGAGGGTGGCAAGGATGGGCAAAAATGGGTCAAGGGGAGTGGGAGGTATAAGCTCGCAGGTACAACATAGGGAATGCAGTCAATGGTATTGAAATAGCTTTGTATGATGACAGATGATAGCTACACTTGTGGTGAGACTAGCATAACCTATCAAGTTGTCCAATAAATATGTTGTACATCTTAAGCTAAAGTAACATCATCTACTAAATATAATTCAATTTAAAAAGTAGAAAAAAAGATGTGTCCATTCTTGAAGACATCAAATTTAAGCTTGCTGCTTGTTGATTCTCTGAAAACAGATGGTGAGGGGAGACTAACAAAACCCATTCTACTGAACAGATGTTATTGAGGCTTGAGTGAGTGTTGGAGCACTCAATGGCCCACATTCTGAAAGAACTTCAACAAATTAAATAAATGATATTGGGGTTTCCCAAAATATAGTTTACTTCATGTGACATATTTATCCCGTTACACCTGAATCAAAAAATATATATTTTATTAAAGCATCTCTATGCTATGCCAAAATTGTTTTGCCTGCAACCATTAATATGAAAAAACAAACACACAAAAACACCTGTATGAATTTAAGAATTTTTTAGATTATTGAAAGAGGAGAATTAAAGGTGAAGTAGAAAAAGTAAATATAGAATGGGTTGGAGCATTGATGGAAAAAAAAATATTGTGTCATTTCCATGCTCTGGTTAATTCCTGTCCTGTGACCTAAATATTGTTATGAAGTTGGGAAATTCTGTTTTCAGTTCCCTCCCGAAACAGCTCATATGATGCAATCAATTACTATATTGTATGGGCCTGCTTCATATACATGTGTTATGAAAGCCTCCACTGTCTTTCAGGTGAAGCTGGTAAGGAGAAAGCATGGAGACAGGAAATGAGACATTGAGCACAGATTTCATTCTCCTGGGCCTTTTTCCTGGAATGAGACATACCGGTCTCCTTGTCTCTGTTGTCCTTCTCATCTACACCATTGCTATCACAGGAAACACCACTTTGATCCTCCTCATCTGGGTGGATCCCCACCTCCACACCTCCATGTATTTCCTGCTTAGCCAACTCTCTCTCATTGACCTGGCTTTCATCTCTAGCATAGTGCCAAAAATGCTGGTTAACTTTTTCTCAGGAAACAGGAAGATTTCCCTGATTGGCTGTGGGATCCAGATCTTCTTCACTTTGACTCTGGGGATTGCTGAGTGCCTACTCTTGACCCTCATGGCTTATGACCGCTATGTGGCCATCTGCAATCCTCTCAAGTACCCAATCATTATCAGCCACCAGGTCTCCCAGAAAATGGCCATTGGATCCTGGGTGGGAGGGACTCTGGCATCCTTGGCCCACACAGCCTACACCATGCATTTTCCCCTCTGTGGCCCCCGGGAACTTCATGACTTCTTCTGTGAGGTCAAGGCCATCTTGAAGCTATCTTGTGAGGACATCTCAGCCTATGAGAAGGGAGTAGTAGTGACCAGCACTGTTGTGGTTCTTCTCCCCATAAGCTTCATCCTGACCTCCTACACACTCATCTTCCTGCAGGTCCTGCAAATAAACTCCCGTGAGGGAAGGAGCAAGGCCCTGGCTACCTGCTCCTCCCATCTGACTGTGGTCATCTTTTACTATGGCCCACCCATGCTCATATACATGAGGCCTGGATCTTACCACACCCCCATCCTAAACCAGGCTCTCTTTATGTTTGACACCATCCTCACTCCCATGCTGAACCCTCTCATCTACAGTCTAAGGAAAAAGGAGGTTTTGAGATCAATGAAGAAGGTACTGAGGAAGTGTGCCATTCAGAATAGGCTTCCATGTTTCAATGACTAGACAGAAAATTTCAGAGTTCAAATATCCCTGGAAGGCAGCAGGGTCTGAGGAAACAATGGGACTCTCTGTGTCCTCATTTCTTCTCCTCTTATCCTTATCTCCTGATAACATCAGTTTTACATAACAAAACCAATGAATTCTCAGAGCAGAGAGGAAAACAACAACTATATCATCTTTAAGAGGTCTAAATCACAACCAATTCTCTGTGTGAATATGAGCTTTCACCCAATCCCCTCATCTTGCTCCATTTATGTCACTTGGAATGGAAAACCCCTCTTCCTTCTTTTAGATGTAGCAAAAGGTATAAAAAAAAATTGTAGTGTGCTTGGGAAGAAAATACAGAGCTTTTTCTGAGACCACAGCTCCCTTTAGATTTAATTAGTAGCAAACTTCCAAATGTCCATTAATTCCAGGTTTTTGAGCCAGTGAATAAAGCAAAAATAAGCACTTCCTAACAATCATCACTTTTGGCCATCTGGTAACACAATAAACCATGTCCATTAACCTCCCAAAGATCATGGATATTTTTATCCCCTCTCCATTTCTTTCCCTAATCTCTAGCAATAATTGCATACAAATGTTCCAGCCCTGGCCCTTTGCTTAATTATGGTTTATCCACCATCCTACCAGTGTGATTTGTCTGTGTGCAGACACCCATTCCCCTGGTCAGGGGCTCATCATTCATCAGTGGCTTTCCAAAACCTATGGAGTAAATTACAGATTCTCCTATATGACAGCAAGGTCTTGTATGACATATCTTTGTGAATCTACGAACAAATTTCAACATCTGCTTGAGGTCCAGCAATGCCCAGCAGATTGTAATATCTCCAGGTGTCATGTTCTCTCCAAACTCTGCACTTTACACAGGCTGTTACTTCTGCATAGGAAGTCATTTTCCTCCCCACTCTTTGCCTGAACTCCCTTCACAGATCTCAATTCAATACCTTTCACCTTGTGCAACCTCCCCAGTTCCCTACGAGGATAACTGGGCAATAGTTATCTCTGTCTGGCACTAATGGCTCCTTCTGTATGTCCTATACCTTGCAAAATGCTTGCAATGTGTATTTGATTAGTGGATTCGTTACTGAACTTGAATGGCAGAGCCAGTCTATGTCTCTTTTTCCAGATTTCCTTCTTATCCTTTTTAATGCTCCCTTCTCGTCTCCTTTACATCTTTCTACATAAATTAGCAGCAATAGGAATCTAAATTATATATTTTACTCAATAATTGTTGTGTTTCTTATAATTTATTTTAAAAGCAAGATGTCAATATATTGTACTTATTTATATTTTAAGGCAAAGCGGTTAAAATGTTTTTACACTAACAAAAATAGTTATAAAAAATGCTGATTGTTCTGTTTATTTATTCCTCATTGTTCTCACAGAAAGTGGATTTTTCCTCTCAAGGGTAAAAGAATACTGTGTCAATTAGCAAGAACATTAAAAACATTATGCCAAAATAAAAAAAATATTGAATTTAGAATTTCTAGAAAAAAAATAACACCTTGTTAATTGCTAATGTCCTTAAGACCAGCTCAACATTTCTAAATTAGTGTTTCACTAAACCCAAGAATATAGAAAATATTAGTAGGGATAATTGGTAGGTAAAACAAGTCCAGTATCAAAGTACAGAAGATTTGGTTTAAAAAAAAAAAGAAAAGATATTTTTTTTAATGTAACATTTTCCGGGTCTTAAAATGCTAATAAGAGCTTCCTAGCGTAAGATGGAGTAAGCAATGTTTCACTAAACATCTTGCAAAATGTCTTGCAGAATGCTTTCTGAAATATTTGTGTCTAACTTCCACAGTTATGCTCTTCCAGTGTGATCACAGAAAAAGCTGACAACTGAAGCTCTAACACATGGGAGAGCTAAAGATTGGATGAACATAATATTATATCCATTTGGTCTCATGTTAATAAAATATCCAGAATTTTGAATGAACAATTTTATTGTTTTCATGATTATTTTCTAGTACCAGGATGTACAAATGTGTTGTCAGTTAAAAATGCTGTTGAGTCATATTTTTAAAAAGCCACAATAACAAAACAGTGAGAAATTGCTGTTAAGTTTCTAAGAATCCATTCCTTCCCAATTCTACGTCAAGACAGTATTTGGCCATAACTTTTTTTCCCTTAAGTTCTATCCACCTCACCCTATCATAGGAGATGACACAAAATGCCAATAGCAGAGGAACAAAGCCAACATTTTAGATGAGATGACACAGAATTTTATGGAAGAATTTGCACAAATCGGAATATTTGCTGCATAGGAAAAAATAATATAACAGATAAAATGTACAAAACAATTATAATGCTCTTTTAATCAGTCTATATTGACTGATAAATCACAAGGGCCATGAGAACCAGTACAAGTCACTTTCAAGGCATTCTAGGTCAGCCCCAATGACTAGAGCCATAAAATGCCTCACCCATGACTGTGATCTGTAAGTCCGCTAAGGATAAATTTAGATATAGATGGTTAAACTAAGCAACAAATATGCAGAGATTCCAGTGGTTGTGCAATAGAAACCATGTTTACTTTGGAAAGAGTGTATATCACATTACGAGGACATAGGGAGATTTTCATATGCACTAAAAATTAAACTTGCAATCCTCAAGAAATAATAGCAACACTGTGCCAAGTGATGTAATATAATGTACCAAAATCAATATTCTCCATTAGCATTGCTTATCCTGCCAGATAGATTGCTAAACACTGTATTTAAATAACAATGGATACCAAATCATTAATCTTTCCCACATTCAAATATATTGCAATATATATGCAGGTTTCATGAGTAGATGTGAAACAGTGGCGCATTTATATGAGAAGAGCAGTAACACTCTGTGTATTTTCTCCCATGATCTTCCAGATCAAGCCAGTAGACTAAGACATAGAGCAGGGAAATGAGTTTTTGCCGCATATTTCATTCTCCTGGCCTTTTTCTCTGACTTCCAGCATCTTGGCCTCCTCATCTCCATTGTTCTTATGATTCTTGGGGTGACCAGGATGGGAAACTCAATCCAAGCCCTGCTGATGTGGGGTGATGCTTGCCTCCACACTCCCATGTACTTCCTGCTCAGCCATCTCTCCCTCATGGACCTAATGCTAATCTTTACCACTCTCCCCAAGATGGCCACCAACTTCTCTGGACATAGATACACCTCTTGCATTGGCTGTAGAGTCCAAACCTTTCTTCACTTGAAACTAGGAGTTGCTGAGTGTGTTCTCCTGACTCTCATGCTCTTTGACCACTCTCAGGGCATCTGTAGCCCACTCAGATACCTGGCCATCATGATACCCTGAGTCTTTAAGCAAATGGCCACCGGTTCATGGGCTAGGAGTGCGCTCCTCTCCTTAATGTACACAATTTTTGCCATGCATTTCTCTGCTTGTGGCTCCAGGAAAATTCACCATTTCTTCTGTGAAGTTCTCTTGTGAGAAAATAACCTATGAAAAAAATAATGTTACTGTCCAGCACTGTTTTCCTTCTCATCCTTTTTGGACTCATTCTGACATCCTACATACTCATCTACTTACTATCCTTCACATAAATTCCCCTGAGGGCAAAAACAAAGCTCTAGCTACCTGCTCCTCCCACCTTGGTGGGGTGAACTTCTATGTTGGTCCAGCCATGATTATCCACATGACTTCAGGTTCTTCTCTCCCCTCAGAGGTGGACCAACATCTCTGTGTTTGATGTAATCATTATCCCCATGCTTAATCCCCTCATCTACAGCCTGAGGAACAAGATGTTGGGAGCTCTGAGGAAGGTTCTATGAAAAAAGCTGATGTTTAAGCAGAGCAGATGATGTCACTTGTTCCTTAAAACACCCAGATTCTTTATTGGTCTTCCAGTTAATGCTAATGCTATTATGAAAAGTGCTAATGCTATTATGAACTCTGAATTTCAATTTTCAACCCACATTACAAAAATTATACTTCATTCCTTTCAGATTTTTAGTAATGTGCACTATATAACAATGGGGCAGGGGAGTTCCTATTTAAAAGTTTTACCTAAATTGACTGTAAGAAAAACATTTAGTTTCCCTAGACTTTATAAACCAATTTCTGTGAAGTAACTTAGGCATATATGTCCAACAATTTTTACATGATTCAAGATGCCCTGCTGGATAATATGGTACTAATGTACTTTTCCAACTCTTTCCTGTGTTTGCCAAAAGGTCCCAAACCCTTTCAATATTGTGGCCACATCTGATCCCACCCACCATGCTCTACTATCCAACCACATCAGACTGGACAACTATACCCTGATACATCATGTTCTGTCCCTAATACTATTGTTGGACTGAGTTCTAGATTAACACCAAAAGTTATGATGATCCCAAGCCTTGGAGTAACCTTCAAGAGAGAGGTTCTTTAAGAAGAACAGGTGGAACCCAGATGCCAGGAAAGTTCTGCCATGGTTTTATGTTGTTATCTCAGATTCTCAGGGAAAAAGATAATTTGAAATATCCAAGTCTTTAGTGTTCTAAGTAGAGACTCACTGAGATAGAAGAAAGCTAGAATTTCATCTTGAGTCATGGCAGTGCATGAAGTCTAGAGAAAAGTTATTGCATTGGAACATGAATGGGGCCTGTATCATGATTTGTGATAATTTTTTTGAGTGTCCAAACAAAATGGAAGTAAGTTTAATATCAATGTACTTCTCAGGTACTGACAGAATATTGAGGGTATTGTTTATTAATAATTATTTACATTTACTGAATGTTTACCTATTGCCAGGCACTGTCCTAAGTGTTTTATATGCATTACCTCATTTAGTCTTGAAGTACACATATGAGGCAAGATTCTGGGGAGTGTTTAGCACATTGGGCTCTGGAGCCAAATTGCATGTGTTCAAATCCTACCTTTGTAGCTAAGAGCTCTATGTCATTGGGTAAGTGATATACACCATTTAAGCTTTTCTTTTCTTTAAATAACATGAAAAATGAAAAATATGTGAATAATAAATGAAAACTTAGTGTCAAACATTGAG